ATATTTAAATATTCTAAACGATAATTATTTATTTCATTTATCATGTAGATGAGACAATCAATAACATTTTTAGATTTCGTTAATATCAGAAAACTATGTTGTTAGGCTTATATGATTAGTACGTAACCTCATTTGTTATTTATTCTCGGATCCATTTTTGTGATGCAATCTTTCCTATCCTCCTATAGACATATATTTTCCAGATAACTATATATACGAATGTACAGCTTAAGTAAATGGTTTTGTCGAAAAGAAAGTTTTCTTCACTGAATTCTCTTTTTCTTAAAAAATAGTATTAACTGGTTACTAAGTCTGCAGATTGCTCGAAATATTGTACACTTTGATCCAGTCATTGCATACAAGTAAATTAAGGAACAGAAACAGTTTCATCGGTAAAATAAAAGTCTACAAAAAATGATTCAACATTAGAAAGATAATAAATAAATGTGCTTTGAGTATTCATTTTGAACTCATGAAACAGTAATATACATTATCATATATTTCACAACAGTCTTTTAAAGCATCATGATCATCTTATTTACGTAATAAGAAAACTATCAAAGTTCTGCTTACTGAAAAGCTACATGGTGTTTTGTATAATTTATCATTCATTTGATATATATATATATATATATATATATATATATATATATATATAGAGAGAGAGAGAGAGAGAGAGAGCAGACTATTTTTGATAGTTTTGCACACAGTACTCATTGATCATTGTTAAATGTGAAATTATCATAGATTACACCATGTAGTAGTTGTCACTTGCTTGAATTACTCAATTTGTCATCGTTAATTATTTTACATCTAGATATACTTAGCATGTTGCTAAGCTATGCAAATATATTCTGGCATACTTATCCACATTTTTATTGGCAAAGAAAATGATGGTTACTGAATTGCTGTCTATTTGGACATACATTTTGGATATTTCTAATATTCTTTGATTTAATTCATTTGTTTTAGAGCTAAATACGAACGCATTATTACTAATTCAGTCAGCTAGTGATTGGTTTCTTATATATCGAAATTATTTAAAAATACCAAATTGACCAAAATATAGCTATAGTCCTTGTCAGTGATCCAGTCATAAGAATTGATTTCACCATATAATTATTCATTTTTCAATACAATATATTTGTGCAAAATGTTATTTATGGTCTGAAGCAGTACTTTTGAATTGATTATCTGAAAACAGAAGTTTGAAGTTCATGGTTGTTGTAAAGTGATTCAGTATTTTTGAATATCCTTCTTTGATCATTTCGCGTAATCACCAAAACCAGGGATTAGTCTTCAATTGTGTTACTGTTTAAAAATGCATTATTGTGTATTGTATCATTTGGTATACGAATTATTAAATCAAAAGACATTAACTCGAACATTATCATTCATGGATATCTTGATGCTTTACTTTCATTATTATGTACTTTCTTCTCAATTATTTTGAATTAAGGCAAATCAGACCACTAAAACATATTTCAAGTACTTTGGTTCTTATTTCATAAAACAAATTAAAATTTATGATCATTGTGTTAACCCAATAAGGGTAGTTAAGAAAAATTATATTTCACAGTCCCTTTTTAGATATTTTACAAGAGGTAAAAAGTAAAAATCAACAATAGTATTTTCTTTTCTATACAAAGTTTCGAACATAGTAGTTTGTCTAACGAAATACATGAAGTTATATATATATATATATATATATATATATATATATATATATATATATAATTTAGTGAAGTATAAACGAATATTTGAAATGAAACCGAAAATCACAGTAATAAGAACACGAACAAAATGTGTCGTTAAACTTAGGTAAAAATGGTAGGTTTTTATATGTTAATTAAAGTGATAAATAGTAACTAAAGTAATAATTATGAGAATAAAGAATAAGGAGGAGGATGTTTTGGTTACTAATAATTAGGTCTAATGAAAAAGAAATAGGCGATCGTAATGACAATAACAAATGGTTGTATAATTATTCAACATGATTAAAACTAAATTCTAATTGATATATAAGAATCAATAATGTTATGTAAGAGATAAAAATATAAGATTGTAAGACAAAAATGTTGAAAAAAGCGGAGTTATTTGATTAGAATTAGTCATTATGACAGAAGAATTTGCCACACCTTTTTCTGTACTTAGGATAAGGTGGCAAGTGTCTGATAATAATTGTCTCTGATAAACGAAGTAAGGCTGATGTTGTTTGTTAGCTATATATTTTAAACCTGCGAAAACTTTATTACCTTTCAGACATAAGTTACAAAGTATTTCCTCATAAAATCTGGTAAAAATTATTGATTTTCTCATTGATATATACTTACTATTGCAGATATATATATATATATATATATAGCTGGAGGTGATGTCGGAAGGATATTGGTCTACTTTTGAATGCATATTCAATATTTGATTTTATATGGTGAAAACACTTGAGATTCAGGGAACCTGAAATTTAGTATCACTTTGATTATTCTGTTGAATTTGTCTCGAGACTCATCTCCTTTGTAATTGCATAAAGAAATTTATCACAAAATATCGAAACGAGCTTGCTAAAGACCATAGATAACTAACTGTTCTCTAAAAGCATGTCCTCACCTGTCCTCTGTTCAAAGAAGACGAGATTTCAGGGAGAGAAGGTAATAGAATCAGGGCGTTATTAAAAAGAGTATATGATTAAAAACACTGGATATTCGTTGTAGACTTTTTAGTATTGTGGAGACTTGTGAAGACTGTTGAACTTCTGTGACCAGCGATTAACATCTATGTGTAATTGCTATAGTTCGAATGAGATGCGTGACCAGTGAACTTCGAACATGTCGGGAATGAGACAAATAATATCATCAGTGGCAATCAACGATGCTCACGCAATATCGCGAATTCATTGGAGTTAGACATGTACATCATTTGATCCTGGTTCAATGGTGTACAGGTTGAGCGCTCACCGTGATACCTGGAAGCCCTGAGTTTGATATGTTATGAATGGTTCCTTCTGAGGGACCTCATACTGGGATAAAACCGCTGTTCAGAGCTTCTTGGTTTTCAGTGGTTGTCTAACTAAGATCAGTACGTGACATAAACTTGTAACCGGAACTTTGTTGTTGACGTTTTCCGTTTTTAGTAGTTTATCACTATTTCTGGAAAGTGATTGTAGATTTATTGCAACAATCTATTCTCTAGAAACAAATTGAGTTAGAAATGGTCATTTTATTTTTCTCGTCTAATTGATCTTAAGTTCGCTTAGTATACACCTTTTTCGGTGTAATTGATTCTCAATTATTACTTTTTTCAAGCGATTGGTTTCCGTGACAAACTTTTGTAAATTAAGAATCATGTACATTGAAGAACGAAATGAATTCATTTTATTTCGTGTACTCTAAGTCATCCACAAATTCATTTATTTACATTAATAAATGAAATGTATTATTATTTAGATCGTTTCAATTCACTTACTAAAACTACTATTTTGCCAACCAATAGTAGTAATAGTATTACTTTACTAGAACTTTTTGTCACTGAACAAATTAGTTTTTAATTTTAGGAATAACAGACTGCACATGAATGCATATATATATATATATATATATATATATATATATATATATATATATATATATATATATATATATATATATAGCTTATAATGCCTACTTTTTACTGCATCATCATTTTCGATTCCGTCATATTAATCATATATTAATTAATATGTTCAGTCTTAACTTATTTTTGGTAAATTGTTTAATTTTATTGATAGTGTTCACTATTATTGTTACTACTTAATGTAGTTGAAAACGTTTTTCTCGATCACACATTATCCACGGAGAAAAAATTAGAATACTATAAGTTTGTATATTTTTTCGTGTGTATTTCAGTTAAACTTAATTGATGTGGTGATAGGACGTTTAAAAAGACATGATGATGAGTTAATAATTTCGACATTCTTGTTGTAGCATGTACATACCTAACTATATATACTGAATAATATTACAAATGACCATTAGTCATCATTTGTATTTAGTAAATTGATATTTACACATGTTTACATAAATCTTTGTTCCCTGTTAAAGATTTTCTACGTCTCAATAATTGACAATTTGTTTGAAAGATTTGAATATAATTTCTTTTTAAAGTTTATAGACAGAATGACAATATTTTCGAAAATGCTTTCAATAAACTTAGATCGTATTTGCACTTCTGTCATATGCTATTTTAAGGTTGAAAATTTTGATTATTTTATTTTAAAAACATTTTCAAATATACATGTTAATTCAATTAAACACTTTGAGAAAATCAAACAGAACAAAATAGTGTTGGTTTTTTTGTTCATACATGATCCAGGATGCAAGGAAATTATTTCCTCAATTAAATCCCTCATTATACAGAATATTTAATTTCCACCTTTTGTCCAATGGTGTATTTTACTGATTATGTTCACTCAACTAGATCGATAATAACAATGTTAATAACATAAGCGGATAAGTTTATTGATTCTCTCCAATTAGTTTATATAGTTATTTGGTTGTATCATGCAAACTATTAGTTTTACACTTTCTATTATTTTAAATCTTTGTTAGTCTTCTAGATTTATTGAAAATGAATAATCCTCTCTTCAATTAAAACAATAAATGTTAGTTGTATAAATGTGTCGGAAAAATTAACTCTCACTAGAATGACTTACAGTTTACAGAATATTTTGTGATTATTCAAATTCAGTCGAACTTCTATCTCAAAATATTAACAATGGTTTGTACTAAATCGTACTAACCTTTATAATTAAATAGTATACTAAAAATGTAAACAATTGAATAATTTTATTCACTATTCTCAATTTATCTCTATGTTGCATTACTCTGCAATCAAATATTATGATAGACTGACTATATTGTATATTTTATTTAATACATTTGAGATTTTCTAATCTTAAGTTTACATTTAAAAGTAGTCCATTTCTTTTAAAATAAGTTTGTTTTGTACTTTCTCTTAATATATAGAATGATTGTGATGAAACAACAGAACCGTCAGATATTGAAAGTGATGCTGATTCTGATGAATCTAACACATACAAAACATCACATTCTAGTCGTAAACCTATGAATAATAATGGAGAAAAATTGAATAAAACAAAAAAGTGTTTAATAAATAATTATAATCAAACATATGCTACTACTAATAATAATAGTAAGAGAAATTTAAATTCATTTGTATGTCGACGTTCTGGTTCATCAGGTGTTGGAAGTTTATTGATTTTTCAATTTCATGCAGCTTTATCAGATGATGGTAAAGCATTAGTTCATATGGTCACAAATTGTTTAGCCGATTTACCCAGTCGTACACAAACACCACAACATTCACCAAATAAACAAACACCAATTCATACAGCATCGTCTATAGACGATCAACTTAATGAAACAACCATAAATCAATCAACATCAGGAGCAATTACAGCCACATTGTCATCACCATCATCATCTTCATGTGATAATAGAAGAAAATGGAGAGGACAAAATGTCATCGGTGGAAATTATAGTGATACAAATGAGAATAATACTAATACTAGTAATAATAACAATAATATACAAAATGGTAAGAGAATTTTTCCTTTCACTTGTCATTTTCAATTGTAGTTTATCAATGAAAATGTATCACTAATGTTCAGGGGACAGTTTGAAAAATTGCTAACTTTGTATTTTTATGTTTATTTCACCAGTTCAATTATTGAAGTATTTCGAATGCCTTACAATTGAAAGGAAATCGATAACATAGTATAACTGATATTATCAAAGTTCAGATAAAACTGAGAAATCATCTGAAATGTGTTTTTGATTATCTTATGTGAAAAATGTATTGTAGAGGAATAATTACATTTAACGGTTAAAATACTACGTCACTGTAAAATGGGGAAAGAATAAACAATTTAATCATAGTGATGAAACATAATGTAAAATATGATGAGTTAATGGTATTTATGTAATCATCAGAATGAGGATTTCTGGAGATTGTAGTAATTTTAATAGTTGAATTTGTGAGTCGGTCTAATCTATATCATCATCGAAAATCTGATAGCACTGGACGACCGTTTCGCCTTAGTGTGGGACTCCTCAGCAGTGCGCATCCACGATCCCTCACTCGGGACTCAAGCCCAGAAGCTTTGGTCTTGAGCTCGAACGCCGGTTCAGTGGTTCAGAGGCTAAGGGTTCGCGCGCAACAACAAAGGTCCTGGATTTAAGTGACGCGTTCGGAGTGGTGGATGTGCATTGCTAAGGAGTTATATACTAGGACAAAACGACCTTCCAGTGCCTTCAAGTTTTCAGTGGTGATCTAGCTTAGATCGACTCAGGAATTGAACTATTAAAATTCACATAATTTCCATATTTTATCTTAATTGAAGAATTAACTGCGAAAATATCATGTTTGATAAAGAGAATATTGTCAAACTTAATTATCAAGATATTGAAACTTGTTAAGGATTTTTTCGCATCGATGTATATGATTTCATTTGTTCGTCATCCATAACGTTCGCCAATCTAAATAAATAAAAGCTTGTCTAGTTGTTGAAGTATTTCAAGTTTCCCAGAACAATTGAATTGAAATTGTATATTTGCATACAACTTAGAGCTTATGAAATCCTAAAAACTAGTTCTTCCTTTACATTTTACCAAATCAATTTTTTCGATAATTAACAAGTACAGTGTGAGATACTGTTGTAATTAACAGTGTAATTCTTCTTGCAAATTTGTTAATGATAATTAAATGTTCTGTTTAGCACAAGTGATTCAACTTGACTTTGGAACATATTCATAAAAGTGCATCATTTAATTTTTTGTTGATTATCAACATTGTCTTTTATAAATGAAGTGTATGATTTAGGTTCGTGGCTAGCGGTGATTTTATCTTTGAATACATAAAAATAAACCCAAATAATCACTGGTTCTAAAAATCTGCGCAATCAATCAGTTGGTTCAATTGATTAGTAAAATAATCAAAATGTTTCCTTAATAATGGACTTCTGTTGTGTTGCTTTAGTCCATCTTTTGTTAAATTACTGCGTTCATGCTGCTATAAACCATTCTTATCCAGTCCATTACCTTCTCATGCATTGTTAATTCTTCTTTTATAAGATCTCCGGACGTTTTTGAAATTTTATTTCCGTATTTATCTTAGTAAGTGTTGCCAACTAGAGCCCGACCGTAGCTGCTACCTCGACGCGGTGGTCGGGCTTGCCTATCGTGATGAGCCAACCGAGCTATATTGGCTAGAACATATGTTCCTGCAGGTTCTACCATGCCAGGCAGGTCGATTGGAGAACGGTAAGGCTAAAAGCAGCAACTCAAGGTCTGAGGACGAAGTCGTACTGCTGACTGTAGAGGGCTGTGACAGTAGTAAGGTGTTTCCCTCGGACAACCAGCATTTGCAGCGATGCTACCTTCTCACAAGGAAGGGTGAGGTTAGGAAAGGTCGACCCTAAAAACGTCACACCTCACCTTACCTCACGGATCTCCGTCTCCGGCGGTAAGGCCCTTTGAAGAACGAAGCTAACACGTCAAAAACCTCCCACAAAAAGGCCGTGCGCGATCAGCCTCAAACAGTTGTTCGCTGGGCTCTGCGGTCACGCTCCCAGGCCGTTGAGGCCAACATTAATCCATCTTCCTTTTCAGTTTCCTCAAGGAATACCCTTCCACGGTGTGAGCAACCGGGAAGTGACACCAGCCCTCATACCCGTAACAGCACACGAGACCAAGTTGGTCACATTCAAATCCTTCCTACACCTCCTAATACCTATCTTATCTCCATGACTAACTCTCCTCACATCTCTTTATCACCTTGCACCGCTAGGGCAAACGATTCGAGTACGCGGAACGCTATTCCTGGTCTCCTGAAACCACTCTCTAAACTACACGTAGGAGCTTTTAACGTACGAACACTGTGCCGAATAGGACAACAAGCTTCCTTAGCTAGAACTTTAGAATTTCGAGCCATCGATGTGTGCTGTGTCTCCGAAACGCGCATACAGGATCCGAATAGCGTCATTCATTTGACCTCACCATGACAAAATAAAGAACCAACTCGATTCACACTTCGTGTATCTGGAGGCCCAGATGATGCTTCTCATGGCCTCCCGGCGTAGGTATAGCATTAGTACTGCTGTTCAGTCATCTGAATATCTGTCTTATGTTTACGACTAGAAATAACCTTTATTTTTTCAAACAAACTAAATAGTCCTCATTAAGATTGGTGATTCAACTATCTTTGTGATTTAAAATGTATAGGTTTTTTAACACTGAAAGAGGAATTTAAGCAGAGTAGCATGAATTCATCTTATTTTGTTTGGTTCTTATCGGTTACTTATAGCCTGTAGTATTTCAAAATGCCAATGCAAATGGATTAAAATCATTTATATGAAAGAGTTTGGAAGTTCCTGTGATTGGATATCAGTATAGTAAATTTGTAGATAAATTTAATGGACCAAATAAAATATCCTGAATAAATATCTTACGTAAAAAGGCGTTCTACGACACTGGTAGTAACCAAAGACCAGAGAATTTGAATGAAGGGATCAGGTAGCAAATAAACACTGATAATAAGAGAAAGAGAGGAATCTATATGAACTATACTAATTCTTACTAATCTAAAACATTTTACTTCTGCACTCAGGAATGTGTGTTATATGAGAAAAGATGGTGAAAATCAATCTTTAAGTACTTCTCAATAGCTTGATGTATAATATATACAACTTTGCATATCTTAATTATGTACTTTCATATAACTTGGTTTGTCTTCGCATCTTAGATGCTCTGTTTTTATTTTATTTTCATATGATTTCAATTTTTGATAATAATGATCTTATTACCAATAATTACTGTTTTAACTGTAGTGAATTATTCACTTAGTATGATGTTTAGTTTACGTTTATCAGATCACTTTCTAAGTGAATAGTTATTTATTGTTTTGTTGTTGTTTCAATCTAGTCATTTTATCGATGATACTTAGAAATTTTATGAATTGAAAGGATGTTTCAGTGATTCAATCATTATTTGTTTTGATGATTATCGCATTTTTGTTAGCAAAGATTCAGTAAATTTAAAATTTGTTTATTTATTTTTAATATACATTTGCTTTTCACAAAATTTGTTCATAAACAGCTCGTAAAATAGCAATTAAAAACAAATCTGTCTTGAAGTTTTGATTCCACATTTCTTATTGCATAATCACTATTCATAGCTTTGATAGTTTTCTTCCCCATAAATAATTTTTATCAGAGAAATTTCAAAAATCTGATAGATACGATTATCATCTGATTGCTTTTTCTTTACGTTTCTAACAGAGTATAGCATCACTTTGCTCGAGAACTGAAACCAAACACTTTATTTTTGTAATGAGGGTACGTGAAAAAGTGTACATCCTCTGGATTTGCATGATTGAAACGTAAATGTGAAAATTGAAACTTTGAAAGCATGACACTTTAGGAGGGGCCTGAGAATTCACAACTTAGTGGTTTATCATATTTTGTGGAGAATGGGCCGTCATCAATATATAGGAAGTCTTTTGAATAAAGCGGTTAAATCTTCATGTGATAGTTAACCTTGTTGTGCAGATATTATGAAGTACAATAGATCATTTAAGATTACTTGATTTTATTCATCTTATGACCACGAAATGAAATGACTTTCATCTGCGACTTAATTTTATTTGGCTCTTTCTGAATAAATATAGTTTGGCAGTATGGAATTTCATTTGAACCCAAACTACCCATTTTTCTCCATCATATTAGAACCTAAATTATGTTACATTTTTGTCAACAACTTTATTTTTTGATCTCACTACTACATGTAATTATATTTCACAACAAAGTTGTCAGAGCAAATTGTTTCAGTCAAGATATTAAAAATGAATCATTATTCTTTGTGTACGACAGTTTTTCTGATACTGCTTGTAGGACATTTTCAAGTCTAATTTATATCAAATCAAACTAAAATAAAACGAATACTTGTGTTATAATTGAGCTTACAATAAGCGAATCGCCATGTGATCCGTTTACCAAAATGTCTACAACACATCCTCTCTTATCATATTATTCACATATGTAGTCAGCTACGATTTATCCATGTTATTTTGTGTACCATTAAATTAATGTGCAAAATTGTGTTTTCCTTTCGAATTTTTGTACATTTAAATGAAATTTATTTTATTGAGAATGACATTTATTACTAATTGTTCAACAATGCATTTTTGATTATAGTTTTGTAATTTTAGTGTAAATTATATGTGGAAAAGTTTGCCGCATTGACGAAACAACAAATTATAATGTCATATTAAGCTAATAATATTTACATGACTTTTTTATAGAATTTTTGTTAAATACATAATTTACTATATAATAATTAGTTGAATTATTGTACTATTTCCTCTATTTTTAAACTCTTTAATCACATGTGTATGATTTATGTAAAGGAAATAGTTTGTGGAGTAGTTTTAAATAGTATTGTCACCATTCATACATGTAAAATATCAGGGTGACTTCCAGGCTTGCTACAAATATTTTAAGTATTCATTGTCAAAAAAGTAAGTTTCGTATTCATGAGATT